GAGGCAGAAAGATTTCAAGGCTAGCCTGGGCTGCACAGGGAGACTGTGTCTCAGTACAGAAACAAAACATCCAAGTAACACATATAAAAGAAAAGGAGGAATATATTATTATAGTGATCCTCTTGCCTCAACCTCCCCAGTGCTGGAATTATAGCAGCACTGTACTGGGCCATCATGCTTGGCTGGAAATATTTTTAAGAAAAAAAAATACCAGATGTGGGCAACAAAAAACTGCAGAACATTTTTGAGAGAAATTATAGAAAACCTAAGTAAGTGTGTAGAATACCACTTCGTGAATGAGAAGAGAGAATATCATTTAGCTTTCCATTCTCCCAAAATTCATACATATCTTTAATATAATTTAATTAAAATCTATTATATTTTTGGGGACAGAAATTCATTCGTTGAATTTCAGATTCACATGGACATGAAACCTTGAAAACAGAAACAAAGTTGGCGAATGTGTAGTGCTAATACTAAGACTGTAACTTAATCTGTTTAAGAAAAGACTTACAGATCAATGGAACAAAATAGAGTTTAGAATTCAAACCTCAGCGGGTGTGGTGGTGTACCCCTGCATCCCTGTAATCCCAGCACTCGGGTGGCTGAGGCAGGAGGAAAGGCACAGGTTCGAGGCCAGCCTGAGCTACATCGTGAATTAAGGGATAGCCTGAACTGTATAGTGGGACCATGTCTTAAAAAAAAAAAAAAAAAAAAAAAAGAGAATTCAAACCTCATACGATTAATTGATTTTTTTAAAAACAAAAATATCACAATAATAACAGTGAATTGAAGTCTTCTTAATCACTCCTGTATATTAAGAAGCAAATACACAGATGTTACATGTGAATATAATGCAGTACGATTAGTCTGCCAGATGCAGGGTATACGCAAGTAAAAAGCTCTTGCATTACAGAAAGGCTGAGACTTGGGAAGCCTTCATTGGAAAGATGATTTTCATTCTCCGTTTTATAAGATAAGAAATATTTAAAGTATTGATGTCAGGATATGTGGTTTTCTGAAGATCATTTAGTATTAGAGAAGACTTTTTGCTTCTAACACAAGTCGTTGAGAGCCGGTGATGTAGCTTTGTGGCATAAGCGCCTGCCCGGCAAGCTTGAGTTCTATTCCTGGTACCGAAAAAACGAACAACAACAACAAAATAACACCAGTCATTCCGTTCTTGGGTTCCCGGAAATTCTCAGTAATAAAGAGTAAAGCACAGTCTCTTATAATGTAAAAACAGTTAACTGTAATTTTGTGTGTTTTTAAGTCAAAGGCAATCATACATGAAACTCCATTTGCCAATAGATTTAGCATGAAAAAGTCTAAGTAGAGAGGTTGTGAAAATTGAACCAAACCAACGAAATAATTGCTTCTAGTGCAGTTTTCCATTTATTCCAGCAGATGGCGATACAATCATTGTTAGATTTTTACCATCCGCCTGCAAGAAGATGACTACTTGTCTTTTTCCTTTGCTTTTTGGGGGTCATCTTCTCTGTGATGAACCTTTTAGGCTGCTAAAATAATTCTATTCTGGATGTTTTAAAGGTTATGCACAATCTTAAACTGTTACCTCTGGTAACATTTTAATTATGAAGGATCTTTAAAAAATTGTGACATAAACACTTAAGGCTGCTAGAATACAATGGGAGAGCTAGGGACTTGCTCTTGAGCATAGTAATAGACGCTGTGCCTTACACGAAATTGCAAAGGCAGAAGCGACAGAACTGAGAGCCAACTGATTGGCTCTTAGCTGTTCAAAAAAAGCATCAGCCAAAGATCACACTGGTGTTCTAACCTGGTCTGAGGAGAAACTAAGCAGAGGTATGTCAGAAGAAACAGGTTAGGAGACTAAGAGTTTTTCCTGAGATGCTGTGGCTCATGCATACCCTGACTTAACTTCCACTGAGAACTGGGTCTGCTGTTTCAGCAAGGGGAACAACTTGGGAGAAATGTACACGAGGTGGGTATTTGTAGCAGTGGGAGTAGATGAGGCAGTCAGACAGAGAAGCCTGAAGCCCTGGGAACCTTCTGGATAATGTCTGTATTTAGGAGACACCCAGTGTGATTAAGGTTAGCAGAATTTCCACATATGAGTATGATTCTTAGACGCTTAGGAACAAGGAGGAGTGGAAAAAGAGTAACAAATATTTTTAAAAATTTGGGGAGATCAGTTGACAAGCAGCTACTGGGCTGTGAGAAATTGTTAAATACTTTGAAAATGGCAGAGAGATTATTATCCCCAAGGAGTAGAGAGAATATGAAAGAGTATAAAATCTCCTTTTAGAAGATTGGCAGTAAAGGTACGGGAAGAAGTGGGTCTGCAGGTTGATCGGGCAGGAGGGATACAGGGACATTTCATATAACAGAGACCTGAGCATGTTTGTATCTGCGGTGAAGGAGGCAGCAGAAAGTGCATTATAATCATTTCCATTTTTTCTTAAATGAGATCTAGACAATTTAAGGAAACTGTACAACTTCATGTACTAACACTTTGGTAGATATAAGGAACATGGTAGACAATTTTAATGGGAAATTTTCAACGTGCTCTTTATTATTGATTGTTTATTTTGTGTCTTCCCACTCCTCTCTGTTTTCGATATCTAAAGTTGGGGGCTGAAAGAGTCAGCCATGCCAACCTCGTCAGGTCCCAGCTCCCAGAATGTCTGACATCGTGTCAAGTGGCGGGTTGGAGGTGAGGGGCTGGCTGTTGTTATCTGCAAGCATTTAGGATCGTAGAAAGCCCTGAAGCCCCCTACTCCTCCTGACCTGGGAGCATGTTTCTTAAGGCTTGCGGAGAGCTTTTCATCCTATTCTGCTTTTTGCTTTCCCTTGTTCGGCAGTTCTTTATCTCGCTGGCACGACTGCTGAGGTGGAGAGTTTGCTTCTTGCCACTAGAGCTTTAGTGTCCTGGTGTCATTACTGTGCAGAGGAATCCGCACAGGCTGACAGTTGAAGCTGTCTGAGGAAAAAATAACATAACCTTGGGGAGCAAACAACTGAGTCTGCCATTAAATATGATAAACACACTGGTTTCATTAAAAACTAATAACAAGGCAGAGTTCTCAAACACAGAGGCGACGGAAAGTGGAGAGAAGGCAGGAAGAGGCCGCGGGGGCGGGAGATCCCCCAGGAGACACTGTCTGGTTTTCAGCAGCGTGGTTGAGCAGCTTATCTATCAGGTCCTAAAGACCTGTTTTTTTATCTTTAATTCTTTGAAATTCTGTGCCACATCTGTCAACAGCCGTCAAGTAAAATATGAAGTTACCCCCAAGCTTACGTCTGCCCACCTTGCTAGGAAGACTGCAAACGCTGTGTTCTGGGAGACAGAACACGCCCACCGAGAGCTGCACCACACAGACTTTCACGCCAACTAAAACCCACGTAAAGAGAAAGTGAAGAAATCTACCTTTTCTTAGGTTTGGTGCAATGAGGAATGTAAACTCCTGAACTGGAATTTATTTCTGATGGAATAAGTTAGTTCATTTGTTCCTTTTCATGTTTTTGTAGAACCCACTGCGTAGTAAGCTGCTCTCCTGGTCAATGCTTTGGAATTACAGGGAAGCAAAATCACAGGGAAAACATTTTACATAAATCCTTCTTTTACTACAGCTTGGTTGTTTTGTGGTTTCCTCAAGATTCATAAGGACCAGAACTTGTTCCTGTTCATTATTTCTTTAAAACCCTAAAACTTTTCGTACAGTGCTTAAAAATATTCTGTTTAGTCAGATACAGTGGTGCACTCCTTCAGTCCCACCTGCTTAGGAGGCTAAAACAAGAAAATCACACATTTGAGGCCAGTCTGGGCAACTTAACAAGGCCCTGTCTCAAAATAAAAAATAAAAAGAGATGGGAATGTACCTCAGTGGTAGAGTACCTCTGGGTTCCATTCCCAGTATCACAAAATAAGACAAAAACGCACTAGAACACACAGAAACCCTCTGATACTTTTAAGCTGGGGTACTCACTGGAGCTTCATAGCAGTCATTCAGCTTCCTGCCAACATCACCCTGGGATCGGCACTCTCGCACATGTGTCAACACTGCCCACCTGCTCCTTGGGAGCCGTGAGTAGTTGCATCAGTGCATATTTTCACGGATAAACTCATTAATCCCTATCATCCCAAGCATACGCCAAAGTATGAAATCCCATTTTGTATCTTCCCCCTACAGAACACTCTTTAATTGCAAGACAGTTAATGGGTTTTCAGAATTTGAGATCCTTTGTTTTTTTTTTTTTTTCTCCGGTACCGGGAACCGAACTCACGACCTTGCGCTTGCCAGGCAGGCGCTTTGCTGCTGAGCTAAATCCCCAGCCCCAAGAGATCCTTTGGTATTGGCTATTTTGTGTTATAACAAACATTACATTTGATGAGAACAAAATGAAATTTCCACTGGGCATGGTGGCACACCCTGTAATCCTAGCACTCAGGAGGCTGAGGCAGGAAGACCATTGTGAGTTCGAGGCCAGCCTGGACTACAAAATGAGTTCAAGACTAGCCTGAACTGTATAGTGAGACCCTGTCTCAAAAAGACAGACAAAAAAAAAACAAAAACAAAAAACCAAAATGTAATTTCTAAAATTTATTTTGTCCTGCCTAATATGGTTTGTTGGATAGATTGAAAGTTTTTCTTTGTTATTTCTGTAAAACACACATAAATCAGTTGGGCGTGGTGGAGCACTCCTGTAATCCCAGCACTGGGGAGCCTGAGGCAGGAGGATCATTTTGAGTTCCAGGCCAGCCTAAACCACAAAGTCAGTTCAAGGCCAGCCTGAATTGCTCAGGGAGACCTTGTTTCAGAAAGATAAAGAAACAAACAAACAAACAACCCCCACATATAAATCAAGATGAATTTAAATCACATAAATCTAACAGGGACAGGAAGGACTTGATTCATTTAAGACGAAGAGGAGGAGGCTGACGATACAACTACATAATTGAAACTGGTCATGTTTGTTCTAGGACTGTCCATTGATTTATATTTTTCTTATTTAAGTTTACACAGGATCTACCCATGTACAACAATAAGCCAACCTACACTAATGGAATATTTTCTGTGTAAAGAGCTCCCAGCAACATACTTGGAAACTTATGTCTATAAACGCAAGTCTGGAGATAGAAAGCTGACTGAACTTCTAGTGCCACTGTAAATACTTGAGCTACATTAGTGTCAGCATTTTTCACCAGCAAATGCAATTTAACTAAGGATCCTTGCTGAAAAGTACCATGTGTGCCACAGCAGCTCAGGAATCCAGCGGCAAGGGCAAGTTCACAGGCTTGGGTCACACACCCATTATAACTGCGTGGTGTGATATGTTGACCAGGCAGTTTCTCATGATACTTCTGTGATGGAACTGGAACATTACAGCAAGCCCCAGAAGCACAGTCCTGGAGTGATTTATAATTTTGGTGTGGTGAAGTGGTGAACACTGTTAAAATAGCTTTCGAAGAAGAGTGGCTGCTGAGCGGAAAAAAAAAATCAACTACAAGTGAAGTAATAGGCTTACCAATAATTCACTCTGGAATACTAGAAAGCACATGGTGTCAGAACTGAAGTTTTGCTCCTCTTGTCATTTGCTAACTCTTTGTACTAGAGTTGATTTTAAAATTTTCTGAACCTTAATTTTTTTCTCTACAAAATGGAAAAATGAATCTAATCCTAAAGGACTGTTGTGAATATGAGAAACTGTATGGAATCATCAAACCCATTTCTGGCACACAGTAGGTATGCAATATCAGTTCAACCTCTGCTTCTCTTTCCTCCTCTATCCAGTATACCATCTACCTAGCATTCATGCAGATCAAGTATCTTGTAGACTGTCTTATTGGGTTACTGGACAGTTATTCTGACTTTTTTTTTTGTCTGAAAGTCTTCCACTATCTATACTAGAAAAATTAAATATTTAATTCTACTACAGAGTGTACATGTGTATAACTTTCCTGTTACTGGTACAAAATATCTGGCAACTACTATTTAAAGGAGGAAAGGTTGGGGCTGGGGATTTAGCTCAGCGGCAAAGCGCCTGCCTGGCAAGCACAAGGTCGTGAGTTCGGTTCCCGGTACTGGAGAAAAAAAAAAAAAAAAAAAAAAAAAAAGGAGGAGGAAAGGTTATATTTGGTTCATGGTTTGGGGAGATTCAGTCCATGATCAGCCGACTCCAAGGCAGAAGTGGCATGGTGGAAGTGCATAGTGGGAGAATATTGCTTACATCATACAGCTTAGCTTTTCCTGGCATCATTACTATCAGCATTCTGGTCTCCTGAGCTCTGACCAGAAACACCCATAAAACACTGTGTATAACATTCTAGGGTCTACATCTCCAAAGCTTTCCAAATTCCTCTCATAAACTAATTCCAAAGACTTCTAAACCACATGGTTAGGTATAGTTCTAGCAAGGACTACACTACTTTGGTACTCATTTTGTATTAGTCAGCTTTCCTGTTTAGGGAACAAAATATTTGAGAACCACAGCTTATAGGAGAGGCTTAATTTGGTTCATGATTTGGGGAAATTCTGTCCATGGTCAGCTGGCTCCAAGGCAGAAGAGCAAGGTAAGAGGGCATGATGTGAGTATAACTACTCACATCCCAGCAGCCAGAAAGCAGAGAGTGAGCAGAGGAATCAAAGACAAGGTCTTCTAAGTCATGCCCTCTGTTACCACCTCCTCTGACCAGGCACATCATATATGAATGCATCAGTGAATTACAGTGGACCCTCCAGTTATGCCTGGGCTCATATATGAACACCTTGGGTTATGACACCTTGGGTTATGAACTTATGACAAAAGTCTTGAGTAATGACCTGAATGTCAGTGCTTGTGCAGCAGTAAACAGACTCATGATGCCACAAAAGCATATATAAACTTATGTAAGCATTAGTGTGAGCCTAATGTGTGTATCTGTGGATGTGATTTTGGTCAGTGCTTTATGCAATGACTACAATTACTGCTATCAGAATGGTCCCCAAAAGGCTAGAAAAGAAGATAAGGAAGGAAGAGAAGGTAAAGAAAGCAATCAATAAAAAAAAAAAGGAAATTGTGGAGAAATATGAGAGTGGCATTCATGTGACTGACCTCGTGAATATGTACCGCATGTCAAAATCCACCATCTTAATCTTACAGAGAAAAGATTTGTATAAGGAAGCTAGTGTTGCTAAAGGTGTTACTCAAATTAGTAAGTCATGATTAACACTGTTAGATGAGATAGAAAGGCTATTAATAGTGTGGATAAACAAAAGGCAGATGGCAGTTTATAGCCTGAGTCTGTAATCTGTGAAAAGCTGGGGCTATAAATGCAAATCTCATAAAGAGTAATCCATCAATGAGTGATAATAGTGAAACATTTAATATCAGTAAGTGGTGGTTTCATAATTTTAAAGAGTGAATTGGGGTTCACTAGGCACAGTGAAGCACTTGCAGGCAGACAGTGCTGATAAAAGGGCTGCTGAAAATCACATACACCATTGTGAAATGATGACACAGAGACATGCCTTTTGCTTCTATCAAGTTTTTAGCTGTGATGAAACTCTTCTTTTTTTGGAAGAAAATTCCCAGGAGAACATATATTATTCAAGAAGAGAAGAAAATGCCAGGTCACAAGTCTATGAAGGGCAGGCTAACCTTACTGCTGTGTGCCAATGTGAGTGGTGACCTCGAGATAAAACCTTTCATGGTTTATCACTCTAAGACCCATAGAGTGTTCAAAAAACATAAAGACATGAAGTATAGGCCAGGGTTCATGTGGAGATCGAATGCAAAAGCCTGGGTAACAGGACCGGTTTTTCTTGAGTGCATCAGGGAGGCTTTCTGCTCTACAGTTAGGAAAGATCTAGAGGATAAAGGTTTACCACTCAAAGTGCTCCTCATCATGGACAATGCCCCTGTTCATCCATGATATTTGGAAGAAGAATTGGCTGAAGAATTTCCACAGCTCTTAGTTGGGTTCCTCCCACCTAGTACAATTTCTCTACTGAAGCTTATGGACCAGCAGGTTATAGCTAACTTTAAGAAGCCATAAACCAAAGTACTATGCCTGAAATGCTTCCAAATGGTCAGTTTTAAACCTTAAAGAGTTCTGGAAGAAACATTACAACATCACTTCCTGTGTGGGGAGAAATCCTGGGTCAATGTATCTCTAAGAACATTGAGATTTGTCTGGAAGAAAGTGTGACCTAAAATTATACAAGCAAGAGACTTTGAGAGCAGTGTAGAGGAGCCTGAACCTTCAATTGACCCTATTGTTGATGACATCATCACCTCAGCAAGGAGCAGGGTCCGCAGGCTTGCAGGCAGACAGTGGTGATGTTGAGGAGCTGGTGGAGGAACACTCAGAGGAACTGTCTACAGAGTAACTTCAGCAACGTCTGGTTGAGCAACAGAGAATGGCAGGTGAGGAGCTTTCTGAAGAGGAAGGGGAATATCAACAATCAGTGCAGCAAAGGTCTTCTGAAATAAAGGAAGTCCTGAAACAGTGACAGAACTACAAACATTTGTAGAGATGATCCACCCAGACAGAAGAAGCCAACCGTCACATTTACTTGCTTAACAACGTCATGTCATATTATAGAACAGTTTTAAAGAAAAGACAGAAATAGACAACTTTATACCAGGTTTTAGTTCTGAAAACGTTGAGACCTAGTGAGCCAGAGGCAGGTCCTAGTGGGCTACAGACTCTCCCAAGGAGAGAAGGGAAACCAAGAGCAGGATTCCTGATGGTCTTATGGGAGAGGACTCTCCTTCCAAGCAACAGCACCCTCCATTTTAACCTTCAAGATCTGGGTTTGTAATAGATTATGACAGCCCTGAAAGTTGGTGCAATTACTTATCAGAAGCTTATGATTTTATTTTAGGGGTGAGTAAAAATGCAAACTAATATTTTTCAGTGCCTCCTTTGGGCAAGATACTTCCAGAGCCACCCTTCATGGAATACTCACTCAGTCTCCACAACACCCCTCTGGGACAGGTGTTCCTATGATTTCCATTTCACAGCAAAGGGCCACTTCAGTCAAGGCTGAGAAACTGTGCAAAGTCCCACAGTGAGGAAGCACTTGAATTCGTTCAAGAAATTAATCTGAACTTTTGCCATCTGGCTGTTAGTCATCTACTAAAGAAGTGACAGACTGCTGTGTGTTTTCCTAGCTGTACCTCTACGGAAAGTTATTAAATGAGAACACTGTGCAGTGCTGACGTCTGAGAGTGGGAATGGCTCGCTGCTTTCACCCGAGCAAGAACATTTCCTTCAAAGAATGAAGATGAACAGTAGAGTGCTGGGTCTGGGAAAGTGACTAAGACGGCATCCTTGGATCACCAGATTTGCAGCCTGGGTCAGATCCATCTCTCTACTCACCCTCTCTCATTATTGCCTCATGGTTTTGCTTTAGAGCTCTTGTGTTAGTGAGGTCTCTGTTGCTGTGATGAAATACCCTAGAAACTCAGCTTTAAGGAGGAAAGATTTATTTGACTCACAGTTTCAGAGGTTTCTACCCATGGCCACTTGGCTCTGCTGCTTCTGGGCCTGTGATGAGTAGGACAATTTATGGAGCAAAGCAGTTCACATCATGGTGGCCAGGAACGAAGCAGAATGAGAGGGAGAGGAGGGCCAGGAATGGAAAAGGAGAGGAATGGAAAAGCTCAAAATTTCCAGGGCCCATCTCCGATGATGTACTTCTTCTTCTACTTCTTCTTTTTTTTTTTTTTTAAACAGGGAAAGGTTTATTTAACTCACGGTTTGTAGAGGTTTCAGCCCATGCTAGGCTGGCTCCAAGGTGACATATGGCAGAGGGGCAACAGTTCATGGTCTCTGGAGCAGGGGAAGACAGAAAAAGCAGCAAGAGCAAAAGAGAGATGCTGTGCTTCTTCTGACTAGGCCTCACTGCCTAAAATTTCAAGAACTTTTCATGATTGCTGTCAGCTCTGAACCCATCAGCAGATGAGATCAGGCTCTCAGGATCCATCTCTCCCAGCTGTCCCTCTCTGCTCTGCCTCACCAGGGACCAAGCCTTTAGCACATGAGCCTGGGGGGCAGTTTCAGATCCAAACAAAAGCAGCCCTATAGCTTGGTCCTTTACACTTTTTATTTGGATAAATCTGAGCCAATTGGTTTCCTTTTCAGAGTTTGAATTGATTGACAAGACAAAGGGAATTACTTTCCCTAAACTATTTATTTAAGTGGGCAAATAATTAATCATTGGTTTAGTTAAAACAGTTTTTCAGGCTGATTTTTCTTATTTTATTTTACTTTTTGAAACTTCTGTTATTTATTTAAGGTAGAAAATTCTTTTTTTAACTTTAGTGCAATATAGATATATATTAACAAAGAAAATATAAAAAAACACTCTTCTTACTTTTATGAAAAAAACCAAAATCTGTAACAAAATGGAGAATAATAATAGCTAATACACTGTATATCACAAAATGTTACTTGAAGTACAAATCATACAAAAAAAGACTCTCTTACAAAGAAGAAACAAACAATAAAAGCACACAACTTTCTCTGGACTCAGAGACACTAGTAATATAAGCTAAATAAATTAGCATAAAAATAAATTAGCATATACAAATAGCTTTGAAATAATGGCTTTGATAATTTGGGAATTATTTGGACTGTATCCTACCTTCTATTTGTCCATCACATTATGTATATGAGTTTACTATTGTTTTAGGAAATAAACCTGATTTTGTGAGAAATATGAGCATATTAAAAAACAGAAATTCTGTCTTCTGTATTCCTTTGTGCACTCTAAAAAACCCATTTAGTTTTATTTTTAAATTAAAATTTAAAATTATTTGAAAAATTTTAACTGATACATAAACACAAAAATTACAGATTAATGAGATACTATGTGATTGTTCTGCTATGAGTATATATTAGGTTATTAGTTTAAATAT